AGGACCTGGTTTGGAGCATCCCAAATAAGCTGTGTTTGTTATCACCTCGCGGGTGTCTTCAGTTTGCAAGTTCATTTGGCAGACATCTGTGCCGTGCCGCTGTAACTCCAAACCAGAGATGCTGTGCGCTGGAGGGGACCGGGGTGCTGTCTCCATGCTGCTGGCATGGCAGGGATCTGGCGCCTGGGAGCCTGTCTGCTTCAGCACTCCTTCCTCTCTCTGCTGAGTGGATTAACCAATTTTATCTTCTCTGCTCCCTTCCCCACCCTTCCCTATGCCTTCCTTTTTGATATTTCACAGTATTTCACAGATGGTGATAAAATAAAATGCAGAAGTGGGTTAAATTATTTTCTAAAAAACTCTGCAAATTTCTAAGTTTCTAAAAACAGTTGGAGCAGTTGCTCTGCAGTCTGAAGCCTGGGAGGCTGTTGCTGATCGGCTCTGCTGAGTCTCTTGCTGTGCCTAAATGCATGCTTTGTCTTCAGCCTCGGGTGCAGGGGGCTGACAGCACTGACAGGGCTTGGAGACTTGAGCTGTAAGGGTCAGAGCTTGGGAGATGCTGGGAAGAGCTGCAGGAGACGTAGAGATAGCGTTGTTAACCTTTTTTTATTTCCTTTATGGCAATGATGGGTTGATTTCTGCAAAATCAACTTTGTGGGCCTGTGTTGGTTGAGACTAATTGAAAACTGAATTTGAGGAGGTAGAGGGAGCTAAAATGTTGTAAACATTTTAGTTCCCCAGTCCCTAGAACTCCTCCTCTTTCTAAGGAAGCAAGTATAAGAAACCTGCAAGCCTAATCAGAGATTATGGAGTATGTCCTTAAAAGTAGAACATTTTCTTCTTCATACTAATGGCCAGTCCTGAGACTGATGCTTTTAATTTGTTTAGAAAAAGATGGTTTCTTGGCACCTAACTCAAAACTGTGATCCAGAACACTCTTAAGTATTGAAGAGAATCATGGGCTGATACCGGAAAAAGATTCTGGAGAATAATCAGCCACCTGTTTGCCAGACTGCCTCCCGTACTCTGAGGAACAGGAAAGGTTACCAAAGGCTTGAGGGCTCCTACATTGGTTTCATAGCATCTCTTTTACTTCAGTCTTACAGGACACCAACAGGTAGTGCCATAGCCTGGCAGGGGTAACCTTCTTCAGCTAAGACAACGAAATGATTTTGCAATCAGATGCCCAACTAAGCCTTCAAAAACATCCCCAGCTGGGTTGTGTGCTGGCGTAGACTGGTGCTTAGCTGCTGGAGTCTGGTCATGTGTGAGCGAGCGAGCAGGTGCTTCAGTTCATCCTACTCCTCAAAGGGAGTCCCAACAAGAAGATCGCCAAATCTGCAAATAACCTTTTAGCATCCAGTGGTATTATGTACCGGAGCAATGGTGGAGCAGGGTTTTATTTATAACAGCATGCACTGGTCTGCACTTCTTTTTCAATATATAATCTTATGAATGAACTTTGGGAGGAGGGAGGAAACAATCCGTTCAAAAGCTGTGTGGTAAACAGAAAAGAATTGTGTTTGTAAAACAATGTGTTTTGTTTTGGTTTTTTTCTCTCCCTCTGTTTTTCCTTTAGATTTCTTCAAGTACATCCCTTTCAGGTCCCGATTTAACAAAACAATGTGGAACATCAGCGTTATTTCAGCTGGCAGAGGTAATATTAAAACACTGGTGACTAATTACAGGAGGTGCAGTGGGCTGAGAAGTTAATGATGTGATTGTCAAACTCTGGAATGCAGAGCAGTGCTACAGTTATAATTACACTGTTGCTTATAGAAGCATAAATTATCATGGTTTGGGTGCCGCAAGTCAAGATTTCCCTGGACTAGCCATCAACTTGGAGGTTTCTAAGAGTCTGTGCTGCAGCTGCTAAGTACCAGTCCATGGTGGCAAAGGGAATTGCGGGTCACCATTGAAGTTGTTTCAGTTCCTTGTTTTGGGATTTGGAGTTTTGACTGGTTGGTTTGGCTGGGAGGTGCAAGGAGTTGAGAGAGAGGGCTGGATTAGCCTGTTACTCAGATTACGGCATAGCCATTACAAATTCCTGTTAAAGGATATTAATTGCTTCCATTTATTTTTGCTTTTCATGCCTACTGTTTTTTGAGTGGGGAATAAACAGGTCAATAACTTCTATAGAAACTCTACTATGATACTCTCAGCAGATCTCCTCCTTCTGGCAACAGTTAAAACCAATGGCCTCTTATTGAAATGTTGTATTTCTTTTGTTTCTAAGCTTTTTCTTTTTTTAAAAAATTCCCAATCTTAAGAACTGTGAGTTGCAAGTTTATTTAGAGCTCACAAAACAGAAGTCGCTTTTTTGTAGCCACATCCGTAGCCCTCTGTACTATTGACTACTGCAGAACTAGCAAATGTATAAAGAAAAAAAAATTGGCAGGGAGCGTGTGTGTTGAATTGACAAAATGTTATTACTGTCCAATGAGTTGCATTTTAAAGATTGATCTTTAGCTTTTGAAAATCACAGGCTGTGTTTACATAGCAGTGCAGTAAAAAAGTCACAGAAGTACTTGGCACCTCAGGATAGTTCTGAGGTTCTCCTCTGCATAATTTAACATGCTTCCTAGGAGCCACTGTGCTGCCCGAGCTCCGGTGTTCCCAGTGCTCAGCCTAGCTGGACCTGAACCAGATCATGAGTTTCTACCCTGTACAGCAAAAATTTCAGAAACTTACTACAAACCATTCTTTTATTGGTGTTATGCTCATACATATATTGGTGTAAGAGATACTGTTAATTTGCAAGGAAAAAATGCCAATTTGAGAAATCTAAAATTGACCTAAAGAGAACCCAGGAGGGTTCTAGAGGGTACATCCATACTGACCGCAGGGCCGGTGGGCTGAGCTGTGCAGGACAGGGAAACTCCTGATGTCTGGTTCAAAGCAAGCCTCTGCCATCAAGTTTTGCTCCAGGTGGCTGTTTTGTTCACGTTTGTTTTTGAAAACAAGGTAGCACTGGGAATTCAGTCTGGGGTCTTTGAGAGGGAGAGTAAGAAGAAGAAAGCATGTCTTCCCAAGGGCAACTGCTTGGTGCTGTGAAGGACTATCTTCTGTAGCAGTGTCAGCATAGCTTATAGGTGATCCAAAACCAAGAGGATCTCCCAAGTCAGTGCTGCAGGAACATGACAGTTTGAGGACCTTTTTACAGCTATTTTTTGGAATATCGCTGTTCCTCAGACAATGTGAGGGTTTTGGTTTCCATTAACGTTATCTCCAGGAGGAGATAACCATGGCAACCACTGCTGCTTTGCAGTTCTTTACAAAATAAGTCTGTGACATGAGAAGAAAGATTTGGAAGGCTTTTTTACTACCTTCCAAATTATTTTGCACATTCAAGTAAAAGAAAATAATCTTGATTACTGAGATTCAATTAACTCCCCCCCCCGACATGTCCTTCAGGGCCATTTGGAAAATGGAGGAAAGAATTGCATGGAGGGACATGTGGGAGTTGAAGGGGGTATGGCTGTGAGATTTCAAGTAACTTGTCTGTGGCAATAGTGAGAGATACTGTATTTTTCCGTTCAGGATATTCTGAAAAATCAGTCTAGCAGTGGGTTTCCAGGTTGTATAAAAAACACTTAAAGGATCATGGAAACACCACTGAGATCAAATGGAGTCTTTTTCTATTAGAGCGGTAGAACCCACCAGCTGTATTCTAGCACTTAGCCGTCATCACGTTGCATCAGTTTCAGTAGAGCTTCAGCGTGTTTTTCAGTACTGTCCTTTAGCGTAGTTTGCTTTCCTGAGCTAAGATACCAGAGAGATTCCCTGTGTAATGCTCCTATTAAATAGGTAAGTAATGTTAATAGTTGATGTTTGTTTCATGGAACTATTTTTAAACTCATTTTAGATGTGCCTTGCTTCAGAAGGAGTAAAAGTGAAAGAACCTGGGAAAACAAAAGTGGAAGCACTGGAAGAGATGGGAGGGGAAGGTCCAGAGGAAATGGAAGTAGAACAACTGGAGAAAACAGCAAAAGACTCCTGTAAAGGAAAAGCAGAACAGTCAGAAACAGAGAGAATGCACAACTGGGATGAGACAAAAGCTGAGGAATCAGAAACTGCCAAATACAGAGATTTTACTAGTCTTGCGGTGGATAACAATCCTTTTGAGAGAAATGATAACACAAAAGATCACACATGCTGTTCTCCAGAGCTTTCGCTGGCTGACATGAATATCCTCGGGCTAAAGCCAGAAAAGATTAAGAAGAAAAAGAAAAAAAATAAGTTGGACCGGCACACAAACGAAAAGTCCACCCCCAAGAAACCTTGTAAAAAGAGGCAGTCCTCCGAGTCGGACATTGAAAGTGTAATGTATACAATTGAAGCTGTTGCAAAGGGGGACTGGGGTGCTGAGAGACTCACGGAACCTTCCCGCAAAAAACCCCGCCCTGTCTCAAATGTGAAGGGAAGCGTGTTGGATACAAAATCACCAAAGAAAAAAGTAAAATCGAAAGAGAAGAAAACATCAAAGGAGAAATCCACGGAGACCACCAAAGAATCAAAGCCTCCCGATTTCCTTAGTATTGCAGCCAGCAAGGAAGTACCGTGTGAGGCTTCTGATAACATTAAAGTGGAACCACTGACCCCAACAGAGGAGGTGGTACCCCAAAGCTTACCAGGACAGGTCAAAACTGAGGACAGTGACTGTGTTAAAAAGGTAGAAACCTGTGGCTCCAGGAAATCGGAGAGATCTTGCAAAGGTGCTCTTTATAAAACTCTGGTATCAGAGGGCATGCTCACATCTCTGCGCGCTAACGTGGACAGAGGTGGGTGGCTTTGAGTGTTTCATTTACAGCATGAACTGCAAAAGCCTGCCTGGAGTGGGAGGAAGAGCAAAAGTCCGTGTTTAAGCTGGAGTTTGAGCAATGTGTGATGGGAATACTGTGTCTGGTCACCTGAGATGCTGGGGCAGGTGGGGGGGACAAAATCCATGGTCCAGGGCAGTTCCTCTGGAGTCCTGCTGTCCTGATTAACCTCACGAACTCTTAACCTCTCCCTTTTTGTCATCCATGATCTGAGATTTAGCTTTTTGACCAAAGGCTTTGTTGGTTAATTTGTCAGCCTGCTGATAGTTATATGCAGGACTTGTGTTGTAGGTAACCCTGAACAATTAGCTTGTTTCTGTATAAACAGCTCTTGTGGTTATGAGCCTAATTCTCAGTCCTACAAGAGGCAGATGTGTTGTGCTTTTTGCTTTGGTTGTTGGTTTTGCTGTAGGTGGTGAGCGAGCATCCTTTACCTTATGGAAGGGTAAATTTAGGATATTCTCTGGAAGCTTTCAGTGAGATGTCTTGAAATGTATTTTTCCAATCAGTAGATTTATATGTGAAATTAGAACAGTCAGAAAAGAAAAATATGTTTGTAATTTAGGGAAGTTTATTACTGTAAATCTGCTAATTTCTTTCTTCTCCTTCATACATCAAGAGATCCTGACTTTAGAGGTGGTAGAAAAACTGGGGACAAGGGGGAGGAGGGGAGGAGGAAATAGTTGCCAATATCATCATTATCCAGTTTAAAATAAATAAATAAATGTTTTGTAACCCCTTCGAGAAGGTCAAGCATCATGAGTTGTGGTACTGAATGGGCATACAAATTCCTTCTGAGCCCGCTTTGTTTTGGCACATTTTTCTAAAGATGAGAAACAATTTTTTGCCTTCATCCCAGGAAAAAGAAGCTCAGGAAAAGGCAACTCCTCAGATCATGAAGGATGCTGGAATGAAGAAAACTGGTCTTTTTCCCAGAGCGGAGCAAGTGGGAACAAAAAACTGAAAAAGCCTAAGCCAAAGGAAGAGTTTGTTTTTGGGTAAGTTGCAGCTTAACACCATTCAAAGTTTTAGTTAGGTCAGCCTGGTAACTTAAGAGCGAAGTCCTCCTCATTGCAGCTAAGAGAACTGCATCCAACACCCAAATAATCACAGACAGAATTCCTGAAGATTACCAACCCCGCTGGGCTGAGTCATGCTCTAGATACCTGTTGTTTATATACCAAAGTAACTCCTTTGAGATCTTTCCTGGTTTACACTACTGTGAACAGATTTGAATGACATTGTTTGCTGACTTCTAAAAAAAACCATGCAATATTTACGTGCTCCAGGGTAGAGGTGAAGAGGGTTACTTCTATTTTCAGAGCAGGTCGCAAGCAATATTTAAAGTTCTGTGTAGATGTTCGATCATTGTAAACAGAAATAATAGAAAGAATAGATGTCTTTGCCTGCTTGAAGAGATTACTTACAGAGGAAGAGTAAACAGTGTTCTAATATTGGCAAACGATTATGATAAATATATCATTTTCCCTTGTAGACACAAGATATTTAAACTGTTCATGTACACTGTGAAGAAATTAAATACAGCAGAAGAATAATTAGTGATCACAAATGCATTAAAATTTAGCAAGTCTACAAAGAATTACTTTTCTAGTATATGAATAACAATTTTTGTCAGAGTATTACAGATTTATTTAACTGCAGGCATAGTTGTTAAATCTGCTTAGCTATTCATACTTACTTGCAAATTCTTGAAGACTTCCAATTATCTGAATTCAGAGGGTGAAAATGAATTAAAAAGAAGCAGATTTTCCACACTTCATACTTAAAATTGTAATATGATTCTTTTGTGCAGGCTTGTGGTAGTCTTTTTTTATAACCTAGTTACATGAAATTTAGCTGGAGCTCACTTTACAGCAAGGATATTAAATTGAGGAAAATCTCCAAGTCTTGTTTGCTTGGAATAGTCAAGAAAAATTAATGGAACATTTCTTGTATTTTTAGTGCATTCTATATAAGTCTTGTGAATATTTTTAAAATCTAAATCGAAAGATTGAGAACTTTTCACACCTAATGGTGTGAAAACTGAGTGCATTTCTTAGCCAAAAAAACCCATGTAGTTACAAATAATTTATTCAAAGTATCTAGGAAAATTGTGTAAATAATTAATTCATTCGACAAATACTGTTCTACCATCATTAGCTGGCTGGATGGGGAAAAAAAAATATTTTCCAGTCTTGCTTCTTGATTCAGTCATGTAATTAACGAATATTATTTAGTGAACTCTGTAAAGGCAGAATTGGTACTTTGTGGAGCATAAGTGCTGGAGGAGGTATCCATTATCCCTGTTCGTTGCACTACCTGATCTTTGGGCTACTTGAAGAGCTGGTTTTATCTCTACCTCCTACTCTTAACTGTTTCTATTCCTTTCAGCATCACCTTTCAGCCTCACTGTGTGTGTGTAGCGGGGACGTTCCTCACCCCTTTGGAATGACGTCCTTTTCCCCATATCCTCTTACCTTCTCCGTCAGTAGTTGCCCACGCTTCCCGATGATCCCTGTCGGGTGTGCTTTGTCCATGTGCAGCCCACTCCTTTCCCGAGCAGTGCTCTGCCTGCCTGTATCTCCTGGCAGGACTGGGCTCCACGGCATGAAGATCTCAGCTCAGCTACGTGTCTGTAACTAGGCTTGTGAGATGCTCTGAAAATTCATGACAATGTGAATGATTTTTTTTTTTTTAAAATAATTAATCACTGGCATGGGGATAGCAGCACTCTCCACTGCCTCCATGTTGCACAAGCTATAAATGATGGCAGTTTGTCTGCTTTCAGGATTGGGCCTTCCTAACTAGAACTACAGCCTCTTCATATGCCCTTAGAACAGCAGACAGGCAGGTGGCAACAAGCAGTGGGAGAAGAGTTGGGGCAGAGGATGGAATTGGATGATAGCTGTCAGAGCAGAAAATCTGCTTGTTTTGTGGTTTGTCTGGGAACATCCGCCTGGAAGAGAAAGATAGCAGTACCAAGCACCACTAATGTCTTGTATCTTTGTGGTTTAAAAACAAAACAAACCAAAACATCCACACACACAAAAAACCCCAAAACCAAACCAACCCCACCATGCACACAGTTTGCCAAGAGCCAAGGCTGCATTTTAAGATGGAAGATTGCTTACAAAAAGAAGTAACGATTATAGAGGTAAAATTGAAGTATCGTTCTGTGTACCAAAACTTTCAGAATGCAATTTGTTTGAAGTGCTGCTTCAGAGGGCAGAGAGAAATGCAGTGTTTCTTGTGATACTTCTAAGTGTACAGTGTGTAAAGGCTGTCCCTCCAACAGTCATGCCAACTTTTTTCAAGTTCAGGTTTTCCATAGCAAACAGAATTCAAAGCGAGTAGAAAATGTCATTGTTCCCCTGTCATAGACAGTGCTATTTATAATCTGCCTAGCTGTGCACACTGCCTTTTATTAAAATACAATTCCTTCCTATGCTCCTGCCTAGCTGCAAAAATTTGCTGGAACAGAGTGCTTATGCAAGCCAGCGTAGTCATTACAGCCAGAAATGCCATGCCATACCACCCTGTTTGAGTGGGGTTTTTTTTCATCTGGCTGTTAGGAACAACAGTACATGTCTGTGGTTTTCTTGAGTTCTAGATAATTTAGTTACAGTCATTCAGGTTGAGCTGAAGTATGAGGGATGCTCGGTTTCATGGAAGCGTGAGCTACTTGCATTTTTCATCTCTCAACAAATAAAATATGAGGGGAGAAAATATAATGCCCCAGAGCAAATACAAAACTAATTCCTACCTCAAAGCATCAGGTTTTAGAATATCCCCAGAAGACTGAGTAGGTTGACAGTTTTCTTCTGGTTTGTATTGTTGTTGTTTTCATTCTGGTGTGAGGGTTTTTATGTGAAGTTATTTTATTGGTTTGTTTATTTACTGGTTTTATTTTCTTTTTTTTTTCATTCCCCTCACAGAACAGACAAATCTCCTGTGTGAATGTGCAGCAGAGCTAAATGTCACCAGTATGACATTGATTTCTTTTTTTTTTCCTAATTTTAATATATGCAACTGATGTAATCAATTTGTACTGTTACAAATGCAGAAACTGGAGTGTACATTCTCATCCCAAAGTTGAATTAGTATGTACTGGTTTGATGTTTACAGTGTGTGTGTGCTTTATCTCCTTCCCTCTCTCTCTATGTAGATAGGTATGTATATACACACACGTGCTCCTAAACAACATATTTTTTCCTCCAGAAGCAGTGTTACGTTTAATTGGGTTGGTTTTGTTTCCCCTTTAGCTTAGCAAAGTTGGAAGAAGAGTTTGAAAAGAAATTCAACAGCCTCCCTCAATACAGTCCTATTACCTTTGACAGGAGAAACTCTGCTGTTCCGAGGAAAAAGAGGAAGGTCGGAAGCAGCTCATCTGAACAACCAAAATCCAACAAAGGTAAATTACTGTGCACAATACATTCTTAAGCAACAGCAATGCTACAAGAACCTCAGAAATTTATACGTTCTTACTTTACTGTTACATGTGAAAAGTGTGAAGTCATAGAAGAAATTTTCTAGCACTGAGGTTAGTTGATCCTCACCTGGGTTAGTTTTCAGGCTGTACTCTTGACTCCTGATTTTCATGCTGAGTAGAACTGGTTAGAGTTTGTATGTGAAATATATTCCTGGTAGCAAGCGAATTTATCAAAAACATGAATATTTGTGAGGTAAGTGAATTTGACAAATTTTCTCAGGAGAAAATGGGGAGAAAATGGCAGACAATCAAAAGGTTACATTTTGACATCTTTCAAAATGCAGTTTTATGCCAGCTTGCATTTCACTGTAACTTTAGGCTCTATAAATTAAAACATAAGATACCAGAGATGTCTGAATGAAACATTTGGATTTTTTTATCAAGATTTTAGCTCCCTCTCATAAGTTTGTAGCAAAAATGTCCTGGCATGATAAAAAAGGTTAGAGGACAGGAAAATTGATTCGATACCCAGCTGTGTTGCTGAGGCTCTTGGAGGGAGAAACTCATGACCCATTTGGCTGTTTTGTATACAGCCAGCCTGTGACACAGAGGTGGTAGAGAAGTGAGAATATGGTAGGGAAAATTACTTTTAGACTGTGGCAGAAATACTGATGTATACATACAGTACAGAAGCATCACAAAACGAAGGAATGACGTACCAGTAATTCTACAAGACAGAAGGATGCTCAAAAGAATCCTCATTATGCACAGTTCACAATGTGAAGCTTGTTTCCTTTTCTGCTGCTATGGTAGTTCCACTGACTGACAAGTTTTCAGATCTAATATGGCTATTTTAGCCAGGTGACCCTGGATTAGATCTATGCCTTTTGAGTGCTTCACAAATAATCACATTACAGTATGCAGGATTGAGCAGCTGTTCATTTCTAGTGCATGCCAATCTTGGTATTGATTTTTGTATTTATATAATTAGATGTGGAACAATCACTTTTGCAAAATTAGACTTGTACTAATACCAAGTGAGTTCTGACTTCAAATGCCTTTCATTTTTTTTATGGTATGTATTTGACAGAACTTCTTCAATGAGCATGAGTGAATTGCTTTACAGTGTTATAATACAGTGGTTAATTAAGCAACATCTGTTGGGAACAAGATCTCCTCATCTACCCTGATCTGGCGGTTGAAGTTGTAATAGCAGCTCCTTGGATTTCTCACTGCAGTGTTTACCTGTGCAAGTGCCTGTATGATTAAAAATTTTGCAGGCCCTATGTTGTTCGGGAATGGCACGCTAGAATGCTGCCTCAAGTCAGGTAGCCCAGAACTGCGTTCTGCTTTTGGCTAGGTTCATCCACGAGAGCTTAATTTTTATCCTTGTTTGCATCACTTAAAAACCTTTGGAATGTATTCGGTGATGTCTCAAGGGAGGGTCAGAAACATAACTGCAGGCAGGTTACAAGCCTGATACAAGTAGTTTTGGCACAGCCCTGCAGAGGAGGCCAGGGAGCATTCGCCGCTAGCTGACAATACGGGCTCTTTAAACTAAGCCAGCCAACTGCACTGAAGCAGATGGTAAACAGTCACATGAACTTTTCCACCAACTGAGCTGTGGGGTTGCAACAAGCAGCCTCAGGGCAGGAATATCTGATAGTGACACTGCTGTTTCTGTAGTGAACATCTAACCGCAGCCCCGAACTAAATCCAGACAGAGCTAGTGATATCTGCTCCTAATTTAAATGAATGTTGAATTCACTCAAGTTAGCTGGGCAAGCTGTCAGCTTGTGTCAGTCATTCCAGCTCCCTGGAGAGTGAAGTTCAGCTCTTAAGAGGTAGCTCAAAAACTTTCCAACAAACCATTTTTCTTTTGGAAAAAAAAAATGGCTAAAAAGTAAATATTCCATGGCAATGGGTTGATTTTAATTCATTTTATTTTGTTAGGGTGCTTAAAATTAGGATGGGAGTTGTGGATTTGAAATGACCTGAATGAAATTGCATACAACAAGCTTACTAGCTTAATAGGGACACTGTTCCAGCTGAGCCAAACGTTCATTAAGCTGAATCCTTAGTTTAATTTGTGGTGTACTGACAGGCCATTCAGCCTTGTCATGCTGTTGGCTTGCCTGTGAGCTGTGACGAGTCCAAAGACGGTTAGAAAACACTGACCTCCAAAAGGTGTTAAGCATGCAGGTCTGCATACTAGGCTCCTGCAAGTATTGCAGGAAGTGAAGATGGCATGTTGTGCAAAATGATAGAACTTGGCTTGGAATGGTTCTGGATTTTTTGAATTATCGTGGGGTTTCTTTGCACCATCAGAATTAAACAAAAGTAACATCTTATTCATGCAATGTGATGGGCATGAACCATGAAGAGTCAGTGTAGTCTTAGAGGTGTGACTGAGTTAAGATATAGGAGCCCATAACTTTGCTCTGCTGTGCATTACCGTGTCACGTGGAGTTGTTTCTGCTGCTTTGCTCTTCCTTGGGGCTGTCTCTGTAAGGTAATTAGATGTCCAGCACAAATAGTGCCTACTCGTGTTTGCAGCCTCTGGATGTTTCCAAACAACAGATAATAATCACTAAGGTGATGTTTAGTAAGGGCTCTTTAAAATATTCCCTGCTTTTTCTGGGTGAGCATGTGCAGGATTATAAACTTCCCAGGGATTCTCAGTTCTCAGATAAGTACTTAATTTTTGCAGTCTACAGATCAGTGCCTGCTAAATTACATTTAAAATTTGGAAAATAAGTTGGAGTGCTGCACACTAGAACTTCCCCAGGATGTTAGGTGAATAAAAATGGAGAAATGTTTTTGTTTGTTGGCTTTGGGGTGTTCCCTGCCCCCCCACACCATAACTAGGGCTGTATGCCTTAATATGTTTTATTTTGGTGTAAATGGTGCCAGATTGATTTTCTGTCAAATGTCATTAACCTATACCTACAAGAGGCCTGATCTGCTGCCTAACTGAAACAGCCAGGATTGTCAGGATGTTTTGCTACTCCGAAGTGGAAAATGAGTGGGTCAGTGCCCATGGACTCCTTCCATTGTGCTTGTCATGTCCAGTCCTCACTTCAGCCAGTTCTTCTCACGTAAAAACACCTGAAGAACTCTGTAACGTGAAAACTGTTTCAAATCCACATGTATAAGGAAAAAATTGAACTTTCTTAAATGAGAGGCAATTTTTCCCCAGAACTTTCCAAATTATCCAAATTCTGCTCCCAGTGAAATTAATGGAGATCTGTCTTCAGTGGGAGCAGGATTGAACAAGCCATCACGCTTTGGCATTTTGAACTGGGAGTGTGCATATACAATAATAATGTCACAAAATGGCTGAAAAATACAGCTATACTGAATCTGTGCAGATGGCCTGCTCCGACATTTGCTGGAGCTGTGACTGATTTCTTTTTTTTCCTTCTTTCCAATGGCATATGTGCCAAAACATCCCACCACACAGAAGTCAGCAGTCTGCAGTGAGTCACTAATCCGCTTGTATGCAAAAGTGAGCAACAGGCATAGTCATTATTCCTGCCTTGTGCTGTGAAGAAATGCTCACTTATACACTGAGCACTTCACTAAAGCTTTCATTTTGGGAAAGCAAGGAGAGGAATGGGTAGTGTGCTTTTATTTGGGAGAGGAATTGTCTACAGGTTGTGGGTTTTTTTGTCTGTGGCCTCTAGGACTGGAAAGAAAGCATCAGCTTAAAACGGATGCTTCTTTGTGGCATTCCTCTCGGTCTTAGCTCGGGGGGGGTTGGCTCAATTCAGAGTGTTCAGATGCATGGAGATCTCATGCCATAATATTCCAGAGATCATGACCTAAAAATATAGCATCTTCCTCCTGAGAGATGCAGAAATGCACAGCCAAATCTGTTTGTCCTAGTTTTCTATTTGATCCGGCCTCTCAAAATAGGGAACTTTGTGAGAGCACAGGGGGCATATGCCCAGAAGTGTGGAGGAAATGCAGTTACGGTTCATTATGTATGGTGGGTTCATTTTCTTCCCTGCTACTGCCCTGAGCAGCTGCCATTGGCCGTAGTGAGTATTCCCAGGAGGAAATCCCTGCTGCCCTCAGTGAGCACAATGGACAAGCCAGGGATTAGGAGGTGGTTAAATCCTGTGGCTACTGCTGAAGTGCTGGGGAAAGGAAGAGCCACACAGAATATTTCCAATAGAGAGCAGGAGAAAAGGACTTGCATTACACTTGCAGACAGCTGTATAAAAGCAGCAAGTAAACTAACGTTAAAAGGGGTTTTTTTCAGCTTTCTATAGGAAATCACATCCAGTATCCACTGCCTAACAGCAAGCCCTTTAGGTTAGTTTTCTCAGTCATAGATTTTCTCTATGTTGACAAGTAGCATTTGTTCAAAGTCTCTTGTACTTGCCTGCTGTCCCCGTGAAACAGGTGTAGCCCAGCTACTCATCATCTCAACCCTTCTTCAGTCTTTCTACATGCAGATGTCCTCTCCAGTCCAGACTATATTTTGTCTTCTCCATATTGGTTTAGTTCAGTTAATTTGTATTAAAAGACAAGCTCTGGTTTTCATACTGGAATATGCCATGCGAAGGTTCTGTATTTGGCAGTTCATTGGTTTAGGCCTTAATCTAAAGGCAGGATGGGATGTGGCCATTTTTGAAGAACCACCCGATAGTCCATTTAGTAATTACTAGACAATTTGTATGTGTGTGACAGTGATTTGTAATTTGGCTTTTCACAGAGGACAGTGAGCGTATCCTTTAGTTCACTCTATGTAGTTCAGGCAGGGAGTACGGATGAAATTTCTTGTGGAGTCAGAAGTTACATTCTCAGGTCCAAGTATGACATGTTGACCTACTTAGCTATTAGCCCATCTTCTCTTTCACTGCATTCATGGCCAAAGGGTATTCAAGTGTCAATGGGCACTGTCTCATAAGAATGACAGCTAAAAGTGAAGGAAATTGGAAGCTTCCTTACGAAAAGGCAACTTCTCTTTTGAC